TGGGCAGGAATGGTGTCCCTAGCCTCTGTCAGAAGCTGGGAATGGATGACAGGGGATGGATCACATTCCCTGTTCGGTTCATTCCCCGAGGCACCTAGCATTGGCCACGGTCGGAAGACAGGATATTGGGCTAGATGAATCTTTGGTCTGACCCTACATGGTCATTCTTATGTTGTTAACTAAAGTCACAGCCTCTTGAAGAAATTGATGCATGGTTGGGGATTGGTGCTGTTTTCCAGAAACACTTTATTGAATAGAAAGAGAATCATCATGTGCCCAAGATGTGCATTGGATGCATTTTAAAAGTCTGTATCAATATTCCCCATTAATGGGCTGAGCTGGGAAGACCTTAATCACATGAATAAGCCCCATTAGGTTGCACAAGATGACCCTATGTGTATTGCAAATCTCTCTCAAAGTGGTATAATCTTTCTAGCTAGAAGCATTTTAACTGCAGGCACTAGCTGTAAACGTTTTCTCATTTACATTTTTCCATTGAATATATTGCTTGTGAGTGATGAGTCCTGGAGATTGGAGACCTCCACAGAGCATGGACAGTTTGGGTGGGAGAATGCAAGATTCTCCACCCCCCATGTAGGTCTAACCCCAGTTCTGAAAAGGCCATCAGATAGGATTCTGTGATGTTGTATGGTATATTCCATCATGCGTTGGTTTTTTTGGGGAAAAAATCACATCTGTAGTCGCCTACCTCCTCTTACACTTTTCTTTAATGGTGACACCAGACTCGATAATAAGAAGCATCTTGTATAAAAAAGATGAGTCTCAGACAAGGCTTTCAGAGTTCATTTTGTTGGCAGCTTTTTAAGTACCATTTTTAGGCTCTGCTGTTTCAAGTCCTGTAATATTTTTTGAGTTAGTAACTATGAATTGCGACAAGCTTTCTTGATATGCCAGGTTATAATCCTTTAACGGTTCTGTTTATTTCAGAATATAATAGGGAGCCGTATCAATTATCAGGGCTGTATAAACATTGTTCCACTCTACTAGAATATTCATCTTGAGATATAGCATCAGATATTACCTATTCTGACAATCACGTTTTTGTGCCATTGTTGGGCAACAGAAACAAAGACAAACAAAATGTTAGAGTGTAAGGGATAAAAGAATGTTGAAACTGTGATTCTTTTCCTGTCTTTAGAATCTCCAAGATCTTGAATGTTTTATTCCAGCCTGTTACTTTGTTACCACAATGTGAATAGAAGTCATTATCTGTAAACATTTGAAGAGAGAAATGATTTTCATAACTTTAAGTCCTACAAAGGATTCTAGTAATCTGTTCTATGCATGCCAAGGTAGAGCTCAGCCTTTCATCTGGTCTGATCTCGCCCAGTCAGTGTAAAATGTTTCTTTGGTGAATGTCTAAAGCATACAGTATCTTTTGTGAGGTATACAAAAATGAAAATAAGAAGTCTGCCTTTGAAGGCAGGAGAAGGAGAAGTTTCAGTATAAATAAATCCGCAATCCTTTTTAGCAAAAGTTTAGTTCCCACAAGTTTGGAAAGATTTTTTTTTTGTTCTTTTAAAAACTCATTAAATGTGACCCATATGAAAGATTTCCCTTTCTGTGACAGCAGCAGTCTGTGGAATGTCCCCACAGTCTAGTGATTTATATCTACTCTTCATAAACGTAGTTGTGAGAATTTTCTGCTTAAGAGAGTGTGAACTTGAATATAAAATTAATAAAATCACTACATTGAGGGTAACTGACTTATGGGTACACTGTATGCGCGTCTTTCAGATGATACTGCAGGGTAGCTCAGAGGTTGGTGGTAGGCGCATGCCTAGCAGCTTGGGCCCGAGTGGTGAGAGAGCTGCTCCTCCTTCTATTTCCCCCTGGTTCATGGACCACATCAGTCTTAAGCAGAAGGTGGTTGTCAAGCGTGAGGCAGCATGACCCAGAGACACAAACGTAGGTGCCTAGGGAACTTTGAAAGAGAAAATTTAGTTGCCAGATGAGTTTAGTGCTTGCAGGGTTAGGTGGCTGCCAAACGGGCTTTGTGTATCCAGTGGGACTTATGTACCAAAGTCTGGGGTTTAGGTTCCTAAGAACCTTCGTGGATCTGCATCTAGGGTCTGATTTTTACAAGAGCTTAGCATCTACATCTCCAGTTACAGTTAATGGGAGCTGCAGCTGCTCACCCTCTGAAAATCAAGCCCTAACTGTCTGCCATGCTGGCAGTTTCAACAGAGGGACCAAGTGTTGAATGCATCATGGCAACCAAATTCCCCTTAGCAGTGGTCCCTCCAGGTCAAGTTTGAGAGACAGAACAATTCTGTGCTGGCACCAAAGAGTGACAATTAGTACGCACTGGCTACCCAATCTGATTCCATATGCTGCAACCAAAGGTTTGTGGGGATGCAGTACCAGGAGTGAGATGTAGGGGGACTTGAATGCTGGGGCACTATGTTTGGAAGTAGCATATGTTGGTGGAGAAAAAGAAAAACTGGGTTTTACTTAAGATGTTCATTGGCACAAGCACTACCAGTCAAACCATGTTGTTGGGGGGTTTTAAGGTAGAAGAAAAATTGTAGCATAAGGGAGCAATCTCTATCTTGCAATTGGAGGTGCTGTTACAAGCCAAGCTACTTCTCTGTCTTTGACATTCCACTGAAAAGCTAACCATTGGCGTGATCTTCCATCTGGCTCGCGCAGAATAATAATATGACTTGAACTGTGAATTGGGTTTAGTGGATGAATTCGGAGAACGTCCAGAGGTAACACTGATTATTGGATGGCAAATGAAATGTGAAATCCCCTGACTAATATGTGCTCAGCCTGTGGATATAAAGCGAGAGTCTGCACTGCATTATTTGGTATACACAGGCAATATGTTTGGTTTTGTACAAGGTATGTACCATCCCAAAGAGTTTATAATAAAAAAAAATCTAAACCAACGAGTAGTTCTGTGGCATGTTAGGGTGCGTCTACATAGCACCCTAAACTCAAAAATAAGATATGCAATTTGTGCTATGCAAATTGCATATTTTATTTCGAATCTATTTCAAAATAGCTTATTTTGAAATTTGTCTCATCTGCACAGCACCAAATTTCAACATAACATGATATTTCAAGACATCCCTTAACCCTCATGAAATATTTTGAAACAGGCAGCTTGTGTAAACGCCAGGACCAAATTTCAAAATAACATGATATTTCAAGACATCCCTTCACCCTCATGAAATATTTTGAAACAGGCAGCTTGTGTAGACGCCAGGTCCCGAAATAGCCGTGCAGTGTAGACATACCCTTACGCTATGTCTACACTATGAGTTTTTTCGGGAGAGGCAATGCAAATGAAGTGCTGATTAGCATTTTGTCACACTTCATTTGCATAATCAATTCCAATCCGTTTTTGTGCAAGAAGTTTTTGCGCAAAAATATGCAGTGTGGACATGGACATTTTGAGCAAAACCCTCTTTTTGTACAAGATCCTTATGCCTCAGGGGGGTTTGCACAAAATGGACATGTCCACACTGCATGTTTTTGCACAAATAGATTATGCAAATGAAGCGCGACAAAATGCTAATCAGCCCTTCATTTGCATTGCCTCTTCCGAAAAAACGCGTAGTGTAGACATAGCCTTAGATACTAGCAAAAATATATAGAATTATGAGCTTTCATGGGTGA